AATTATTCGTTTTTACGAAATAATGACTCTTTTTACGAAATATTAATTCGCAATTAATTCGGTTTTACGAAACATTACTTCGTAATTAAGAAATATTAATTCGTAAGCACAAAATATTATTTCGTAATTACGAATTAATGTTTCGATTTTACAAAATAAATTTTGTGATTAATCAGAAACACAATAGGCACAACAGTCTCTTTCTTGTCGACTCAATAACTTGATACCTATGACATTTACTATCCTTATATTTATTGAGGGAAGAGGCCAGTGAGGTACTGGCCAGTAGATAACCCATATTTATTTTTGGTCAGTCGTCGCAGGTCAAGACCACAATGAACTTGATTTTAAAAATCATGCAGGGCATTTCCAGCTATTTTGGGAAAAGGCCCCTTGTTAAAATTTTGGAAAATAATTTGGTGTTTTGTGAAATTGAGAAATTTTCAAAAAGTAAAATAAAAACTACCTTACAGATGAATTTTAAAGGGAATGACCGCCAGATGAAAGAATAATTTTTTTTTTCTCGTACTTAAGAGTTTTGGTATTATCTATCTAAGGTCCTGACTAAATATTAGTCAGGTAAACACAGTACGTATAACAAGTGATTATTTTTTCTTCCTAAGACTTATACCTCGCCGTTGGTTGAGTACAGGCGCTGGGAAAAATGTGTTGGTTCAGGGGTTCAAGTGAAGACGTGGACAAAAAAAAATTTTCTGTTTCGTTTTGTCGATTTTATTGAGTTTTGAAACTAAATATCATCTTTTTATGATCGCATGGAGCCAATACATAAATTTTAAGAAAATACGAGCCCGTCCCTTAATGGGTATGATTAAAGAAAAATAATATAGCGTGTTACTTTTTTTTAAAAGTAGCTTGTCAGAAAAAAAAATAATTATCTCAGAATTATCTCTGGGAATATGTTTTTGAAAATGGGAAAAAGAGGATATTTTGGATTGCAAATGACTTCTCATTCAAAAACACTGTTCACTCAAATATAATAACTTTAGAGTCATTAGGCTTATAATCGTTATATTTGGTGGCAAGGTTGATCCAGGCTTGTAAATGACCCCTTTTGATTGTGAGGTTAGAAAGTTCTATGTCAAGCTCATAATCACCTTCAATTCAAACTCTATGTCATGTCATGCCATTTACTTAAGTATATGATTTTGCTTGCTATCCTCATTACCGATTGAATGTATCGTGATTGTTCATGTTCGTGTAAACAAAATAGTGTTTTATAAAAACGAAATAAGATTTTGTAAAAACGAACGAATTAATATTTCGTAATAACGATTTAATATTTCGTAGGAACGACTTCATGTTTCGTAAAAATGAATTAATATTTCGTAATTACGAATTAATATTTCCTATGAATGAAGTTACTTCGTAAAAACAAACTACTATTTCATAATTACGAATTAATATTTCGTAGAAACGAATTATTATTTCGTAAAAACGAATTGATATTTCGTAAAAAACGAATTGATATCTCGTAATTACGAATTACTTTTTTTTATAAAAACGAATTATTATTTCGTAAAAACGAATTAATATTCCGTAAAAACGAATTAATATTTTGTAATTACGAATTAATATTTGGTAAAAACGAATTAAGTCCCGGAGAGAAAGTGAATATGGGATTTGATTTATTTAATTCATTGTTTTTTTTTTTAAATATTGCATTTTATTACTATTTTTAAAACGAATTTTCGGCCTTTTTTATTTCTTTTCTTCCTTAAAAGGTTTTATATACTCAATGTACATTAAGTGAAAAGAAGTATCAAACTTCAGGAATAAAATTCTGTTTATCCGCGCCAAATAAACAATAGAAATACAATTATAGTCTGGCAGCGAACTGGCTAAATCCGCCCGTCCTTTTAATTTTGGACACTCAGTTTATGTTTTTTTAACTAGAAAATTTTCTAAAATATAAAAAATGTCTTTTCTTATTAAACAGTCAATTATTTTTTTATCAAGAATGATATAAACTGATTAATGATAAAAAACAAAGTAAAACAACATAATTTTTATTATTGATATTAAATTTTTATAGAAATACTTGTATATTTTAACTAATTAGATTTACACCGCCCGCTTTAGAAAAAGCAACAACTGAAAAGTGAAATACCTGAAGAAATATTAATTCCAATCACAAAAACCAATAATAACGTAATCTGATTGGACATGATGCATGCGCATATACATAAATCACACCTTCACAACAAAGTCATGTATACAATATAACAAGATTTACATGTATATATACATCAGTTGTCAACACCTCATGTATCGTAATATATAAATGAACAGACATTAGCCGAATACTTTTTATGTAGGATTGCCAAGTTTCTGTTTTACTAAACGGTTCAACTCATAATCTGTTATAATCCAAAAATTCGAATCACTTTTTGACCTACCTTTAGTGTACTTTGTTACCGGTTAAGTGATTGTTATATAAAACACACACATTTCTAATGATATCTAATTATCCAATGAAATTAGCGTTTAAGTAGTATTAAAAATGATTGAACATTGTCCGCCCTCTTTGAATAAAATCAGGCCGGTGATGCCAGTAAATAGTGAGGACAATACACTCATCTTGAAAGTTTGACCAGGTTCTATACTGTTGCATGTCCGCACATTTAGATTGTATGACCAGGCTGTACATTGTTTAATGTTCAATATTGAGATTCATAAATTTAGCAAAAGTTGGAATTTAATTTCATCTTTAGAAACAAATGTGCATTTATTTTTGTACACTCGTCTATGATCAAACTAATTTAGTAAGTCTTTGCATTAAGGAAGAGAGAAGTCTTATAATTTAATATTATTTGCCTTTTCAATCAATCAATCAATCAACCGGACAATCAATCAATCAATTTATCAACCGAACAATCAACCATCCAACTTCAAACCTACCAATCAACCTACCATCCTACCAATCAATCAATTACATTAGAGCGACTATATTTCATTAAAGGTTTTCTTCAGTGAGGCCCCGGAACATTCTCTCTTAAAGTACTATCACACTTTTAACCGAACAGTGATCGTATTAAGCCAATTATTATACAAAGTCTTGCGTTATAAAAGTTACTGAATATTGCAAAAGTATTCAACTACGGACACATTAATTACTTATGTGTTTCCTCGAGATTTAAAGATTTTATCAAACAATCAATGCACAAATAAATGAGGTTAACTTACAAATAATACATGAATTAAAAATAAGGTAAGTAACTTTAAAGGAGCGCTATCGAGGCCATAAAGTCTAAAAACATAAAAAAAATTGAAATTCTTACATATTTTAAATGAAGAACTTAAATAGAGACAACAACGAATGATACTATAGAAATATACTAAAGATGAAATAAAAAAACCGACTTTGAGCAGTTCTTATCCCGATTTGAGCAAAAAGCGTTGCAACGCGTTTCATTTTGGTGCCATTTTTGCACAATAAGAATGAATATTCTGGAAAAATGTGGTGAGGGAATGTACTGAAAATAACCACACACACATTATTGGTCCAGAACTACATCAGATGGTATACAAGCCTTGCAAAAAATGTTTCCAGTCCCGTCATGTAAAGAAACCTCAGTGGAGGGAGTCCCTTTAAAACATATCTGGATTCGAGTGATACGAAAGAAATGTTTAAATGAAAGTAAGAATTAACATGCCCATGGATCACCATTTGATTGATCTCATCCGTTTCGGAACCTATTACATGTATATATACTTCCGACTTCTTTACTTAATGATTCTGTGCTGCAATACAATTTGTCGTCTACCCATTACATGTATATATACACAACAATACCGCTCACTATTATTTGTCGAAACGTCCGATCGAATAACCAATTAATGTAGCAATGAATATGTTTGTCCTTAAAACATTAATCTATTGAACTTAAAATCTTTTAATCTGTCGCAAGCCTAATTCTTTATATAATTTAGTCTAATGTCTTAAAGTACAAAATTATTATATCATTTATGTGAGATTCTGTAATACGTCTTAGTGACACAAAGATGTGTAATAAAACATAAGTAAGATAAAATGTGAAAATACAGAGATGAAAATGTACAAAAAGCCCAAAAACCTTAAATTCAAAAAGGTCAACAACGATTCATTGGAATATTTGTTCGTTGTTGTATTTTTCAGTATTCTAGCATACTCCACAGGTAACTATATCATTTTATTTACTAGTATATGATTCTTATTTGATATATCACTTGATATTTATGAGTTTAATGATCCAATAGAATACCCCCAGAGATGTGTCTTTTCTAAGACCATTTTTAGAAAATATATTGTAATATGTAAGTACCACGTGTATCAAAATGAAATATTATGGAGCTGTCCTGATAAGTCAACATCTTTATTGGTCAACACCCTCCCCACCCCCATCCCCCAAAAAAGTAAAAAAATAAATAAATGAGTAAAAATTATTGGACTGATTTATTTTGTGTATTGCAAGCTTTTTCGTTCTTCAAATGTCATATGCGCTTTCAATTCGTTCACTTAAATAATCTTTTTGATAGAGGGAACGACGTCTAGTGGTTAAAGTATCTGCCTCTAAACCAAAATAGTTCAAATTCTTACAGAGTCATGACGATGTTTCCTCATATATGACACCAGTACTGATTAGTTCTACAAAATGGAATTTGAAATTAACACGATCTGTCTCCGGACAGCACTCACAACTTTCTCAGTGCTGGGTATTTTAATAACAAAAAGCATTGAAGAAAAGGGAAATATAATTCTTGAATAGAGCTAGGAAGACTTTCTACCAGTGAAAGAGAGTTCGCTTACCAACTCTATTACAAGTGGAGAAACTGACAGCGAACAACATGGATCCTGATCAGACTGCGCGGATGCGCAGGCTGGTCTGGATCCATGCTGGTCGCAAACCCATTATGTTGGTTTTTGTCATGGTACGGCTCAAATATGTTACTATAACATAATTGCTTTTTACGTTTTTTGGCGATTTCTTTTTCAGGAACAGATCCAACAAATTTTGCTTGCACGGCTGTAAACGCAACAACGATGAGGGTGACATGGACACAGACAGCAAGTGCAACAGTTGACGGATACCACCTTGATATAGAACGAGTGGATGGGCTCAAAATAGAATACGGATTACCGGTAAGGATCTCTTAGTTTACAAAGTTGGTTCATGGTTTTTATATATTTACGTGAGACAGTTTGTAGTGTTTACACAACAATATTCTACTGCCTCATTTGATCCTTTTTTTGCAAATACTGAAGTTTTCAAAGTAAACATATAATTTTAAATATGTTTTTTTGCTATATAATATTATGAGTATATACATGCATGAAGTTGTTCCTAAGACCAATTTAATTTTATCTTGTGGTAGTATTTGTTTATTTCAATTCCAAAGTGATGATGTGCTCGTTTCTTTGTGATTCTAATTTAGTTTGTTGAGCATAGCGTTTTTTTAAAAAAAATATTTGTTAACAAACTTTTTTATATTTTCAGTCAATAGTACTGAATGACAAGACCTATGAGACCTACACGTATTATGGCCTGGGAAAGTTTGCCACCTATAATATCACCATTCATTCGTACTTTAGTTCTGGTAGCAACGGTACTGATTACGTCATTACTTGCCAAACAAGCTCAGATAGTAAGTTTTTTCAACAAGTCTTTCTTACTTTCAACAAATTATTTCTTATATATGTCAATATGTGAAATGTAAAACTTAAATATGTGTGAATGTCATAAGATATTACGATGCTAATGTGTTGGTAATTTGTGCAAATGTTACGCACAAAATGAAAAATGAACAATCAACTTATCGCCAGGCATGAATATTGTTATCTACTAACAATAGGTATTGTCAGAAGATGTACAATGTCAGAAGATGTACATTGCCTAATTAATTGTGCGAATGTCGCCAGATATAATCATGTTAATGGTACATCATATTGGCAGATATAATCTATACATGCAATTGCTAAGGTTACAAATGTATGACATTAATATACATTGGCATATTTTTCATACAGTACCAGATGCGTCTAACTTTAACTTCTCGTGCGTTGGAATCTCTACGTCAGAAATCACGTGCAAATGGGACACCCTGGACACAGTCTATTGGAACGGGAACCCAGTAGGTACGTATTCCATATATTATTTTTACGGGGACTAAAATTTCGCAAACAATTATGTTTTATGAATAATATCAAAATGAAAGGAAAGCTTGAAGGTTTTACCATTGAGCACAAGTAATTATGAACAACTGTGCACATTGTTTTAATCTAATGATATCAAATATAAGAAATCTTTAAATATTATAAAATCGATATTAAAGAAAGGTTTATGTTGTTTGAACTGCTCTGGAATGTACATCTTAGATCTAACCAGTACAGACGTTCATGCAAAAACATGGTCATGACCCCAATTCATTTCGAACCCACGACCCTTTGTTTGAGAGGCAGATGTCTTGACCATCCTCTTTTATTAATTCATATAGGATATTTAATATAGTTACTTAAAAAAGTCAAGAAACATGTGCATTGTTTGTCATATATTTGTTTTGTAAGTGGTTTTATTGTATTTTTGAATTTCATACACTTATTTACTTTCTTATAGAATCATTGTTACATTATATGTTTTTTAATGGAATACGTTTGTTTGTATTTGTTCGGTTTCTGTAACTCTTATTATAAAAATGGTACATAAATATGAGTCAATTGTTTTCTTTCAGGGTATATATTAGGATATTTACGGTATACCAATGACATTTACACGTACGTCAATCTGTCAACCAACATCGTGACCCACACCATCAACAATCTCTACTTCGACACGTGGTACGTCATCCAGTTACAAACACAGAATGATGCTGGCTTGAGCCCGTTCACTTCAAGTCCTGCAAAAACGTTAGGTAAAACTCACAAACAATTCTCACCTAGTTTTGATTGCCATTTTTATAAGCTTGTGCTTGGATTGCGCTATATTTTCCTTTGTTAGGTAATTTGCTAGCATGGGCAAAATGAATTTGCCGACTTCATCACGCACGCGAACTTATTGAACAAACAATTTATACAAGTGCTCCCAGATTTAATTTCTAATATCTAAAGTATCCCCATCATGTCCATTTTAACAAGATAGTCTTTTTGTTCCGTGGTCTTGTTTGGAGGGACTGGGGTGTAGTTGGGGATGGGAGAGTGGAGCAGGGTTATGTGAACAGCGCTCTTCCTTGTGGATCTTTGTATTCACATTTGGTTATTAATTAGAAAATGTTGATAGATTCATGACATTAATATCAAAGCTGACGTCACTGAGTCTGATAACATGACACATCACATTTAGGTATTTCAGAGTGGGCGAAGAAAAACTCTTTACTTTCTTTACAACATTACAAACAAAGGGATTCAGAATAAAAGTAACACTTGTTTTCTCACGCCTTAGTGACATCATCTCAACTCTGATATGTAACAATAAAATGTGATGGTTACCGAATGTGTAAGTTATTCTTTTTTGAAGTGTTATTTTGAGTGAGTAGAGTAGGTATCATATTGTTTATGTTTGTTTAATGCTGTGTTACACCAACAAAACTCTTTATTTTATTCTATTTTAGGTTGGCCAGTGACAGTTGGTAAGTATAACCTTACTTTCAAAAGGTCTGAAAAATTCATTTCTGACATACTGAACATGTTCAAGAGTTATTTATTTCTTGCGATTATGCACATGACGTCATACAGTTAAAGATATACATGTATAAGAAGTCATTTGCGCACCACCAAATCGACTTGGTAACTAACAAGAAGTTATCAATAAATCCGCAGGCGACCGACAGACTATCCTAATTGGTTTTTTTAATCAGTTGTGAGAGACACATGACCATAAAGACTCAATGACCGGGATCATTTGTCATTACTTATCCGATGGTATTTTATAGCAAATATAACTAATAGGAAACACGTAGAGTGTCCTATCATTCAAGGATGTCACTGACTCCCTCATGCCAAATTCTATATGTACAGTGCAATTTTTTATTAGATTTGTTTAATGTACTTTTTTTGTGCTGCGGTGTGAAAAAAACCCACGACACGGCCATTGTTTTCAATAGGTTCCTTCTTTCGTACTAAAAAGCCAAAGATTTTTGCCTCACAAAATGACAAATGTCTTTTTGGGATTTATTTTGCTCCGCCGCATAGAAAGATTGTCCACGACACAAATAAGCCACAATTATCAAGTATATGTTATTATATTACAGAGAACAAAACTCGTTACTTTTGTTATGAGACTATCCCGGGTACTCTTGTATGGAGCTGGGAGGAGATGCCATGTACTGTTTACGTTGGAATAATTCTCGTATTCATGCTACTTTCACTGATCTTCATGACGATCTGTTGCTGTATGTGTTGCTGTAATAAGAAAACTGAGAACAACAAAAGCAACGTTGCTGTCAATATCTTGTAAGTTTACTATTAATAAAATCATTGCTTTTTTCAAGTTACAAGCTTACACATGCCCCTCATCGCTGTATGGACGAATCCCGCAAGGGACTCTGGATTGATTCATGAGAGGGACCTTTGCAGCTAGCTCACAGAACGTTGGTGGTTCTACTAAGGTGCCTTGTCGTGCTATAACTAATGCACGGAAGGGCATCTGACGTCTTCCTCAAACAGTAAAGCATGAAAGTCGATATATGTCTTCAACTTAAAAATTGATTTGGGTTACTTAGAAAAAATACCAACGTTTTATTTGAAACAGAACAGAAGGAATAGGTAGGGCCTAACATACCAAAAGCAAAGTAGTAGTGTTTTCCTTTCCAAGCGTTTTTATTTACCTTTTTAATGCATGACATACGTTTTCTTTATCTTTTGCGGGGGAAATACTTAAAAGAGGTTTTTCACTGATTGTAATTTGTTTAATGCCTTATGAACTTCACTTTATCCTTATATCAATAATGTTATTAAGAATAATAATAAATAAGTTCAGTGTTTCCTTAGAGGTATCTGACACATTATCATTGCCATTATCTTATTATTGTGTGATTTACACGTTCCACCATTCCATTAGCTCCAGTAAACAAGGAAAATATTACGTTACAAAATGGGATTATGATGAAAGATAACGCTGAACTAGCCGATTATATTCTACTTACAGCCATCACATTGTTGCTTGATGTTTAATAAATGTATGACAATCTGCCAACTGAAATTAAAGTATTATAAACAGATTAAAGTATTTAGTAAAGGTATATGAAAGGTTAATGGGCTGTAATCTTTGGCCAATGAATCATATTCAACAGATATTAAAAATTAAATTGTGTGATGTAAAGTTCATTTGCTCTGTTTGAGAGCATGCTATTTTCGTTACTAATCTTATGTTTGTATCTTAATTGAGCTGTTACGTGTAAAAAAAAAGTTTAATTTTATTCTGACCAATAACATCTGGATTTTTTTCCGTGTGTTACAATCCGTATCACAACATTACGGCTGATATATCTATGTCGAACTACGAATATAATATCCATATTTTCTTACTTCTTAGTGTGATATATAGTATGTCCACTATTCTCTCTGTATTTCAGTGACCCATTTGATAGTAAAAATTAATCGCATGAAATGTACAAAAGTTACAGGATACAAGTAATAACAAAGATATTTAAAATTGAATTATGCTGTCGTTCTCCTCCCCACTTAAAGTTTAGCATAAGACCACGGGGTTATGAGAGTTAATGCGTGTTTGGGGCGGTGAATCACATTATTTTTGCATTAGGATTTGGCTTCTTTATAAATAATAAAACATCATTTGATGATCATATAATGAATTAATATTTATCTAAGCACTTATGGAAATATACTAGTATATTGTAAACTGACACACGAAGGTGTTTTATTTCGTTGTACAAGACTTTCATCTTAAATAGATATAAATGTTCGAAATTATTTCATCCAGTTTGAATAATTTTTAATCTTGCATGGATACGTTTTCACTAACACGAATGTTTTGACTTCCTGAAACGGAAACGAACTTCAATGTAAGCGTAAAGGCACCCGTATTCTTGTGAGAAACGCATAAACTTGCTACTTCATAAAGTCCTGACTCATCCGTACATACGGATTGTTTGATACAATCAGAAACAAACTCTGCATTTATAAATTACAAATTACGAGCAAATTCTCTGACGACAGAAAATGTTTTCACTTTAATTACATGATTATTGAGGAGTTTGAAAACTTTCAAGTACCTTTTAAACATGCTTACCCTAATTTTTATCTTCTTTTTTATACTTTTTAAATACAACGCAAGGGACTTGCAATGCTATTTCCAACAACGTACATTATGAATTGTGAATGTCATAAGCCTTTTAAAGATAAAACGTTATCATTTGAAAAAAACTAATAATGGCATACCGTCGAGTTTTCAAAATTCGTCCATTTCCTAGTGTCAGCACCATTTCTGTTTATATCACACAGTCTTGTCAAATGTTCCCCAAGAAAGAAAACAATTGGATATATTTAAACATCAAAGTAAATTACATGTAAATGTATAATCTAAATGTCTTCAACATATTATGCTTGAATTATCAAATGATATAATGCATCAAACTAGCACTATGAAAATGTTCAGAGTAACGAATCATGGCCAATCATGGATACCAAACGCTCGCAAATAATAGATAAATCATAAGTCGTTTCGAGTTTATAGAGAATAAGAGAAAACAAAATAACTTCAATAACAAAAATCCAAACCAGAAAACGGTATAAAATGATACAAATATTAAATGTACTTCATAACATGTGTATGTTGTCCATGATTATTGCTCTTAGAAAGTTATACTCGTTTAGTGTCCAAGTTTTCTGCTCTTAGACAATAATTCATACGGTTTCCTAGCTTACAGCTCTTAGAAATTTATAAACACATAGTTTACATCTTTACTGCTCCTAGAGAGTTATATGATACGTATGGTTTCCATGCTTACTACTCTTAGACAGTTATACACGCATATTGTCCATGGTTTCTGCTCTTAGAATGTTATACACGTATGTTTCCTTGCTTACTGCTCTTAGACAGTTATATGTACTGTTCTGTTTCCCTATTTCAGTAACGAGCAAGGAGAAAATGGGGACAATGATGGCTATGACGATGATGAAACAGGTATTTTAGATAAAAAATCAAAGCGTAGAAAAAGAAGAAAGTGAAAAGTTGTGTTCTTAAAAAGATGTTGTGCTTTGACTTTACCTGCTTGTGTGTTTTGTGTACTTGTGTGTTCTGTAATTACAAAAAAAAATTGTCACCCAGTTAACAGTTATCTACGTCATTATGTATACTATATTAACTCTAACTCAAACATTTTGTGTACTGTATATTTTATAACTTAAACATTTTTGTTCGACAGAGATTTCTAAAGTTCTGCTTGTTTATTAACTGTACAATGTATAACATTGACTGAAAGTGTGTCTTAGGAACAGACATTTTTGTTTCATGCCATAATTTGTTTTCATATGTGAATTATAGATGCAATGATTATGTATTCTGATTAACTGTGTAATAGCAAAATAAACGAAGTGTGACTTCATTCTTTAGAGTATCTGTTTTGGCTCTTGTTATGTAAGTAGCTCGTTATAAACCTGTTTTCACGATTGTTTTGAATGAACTGCTGGCTTGCTATGGGTATTTATTCTATCAGATATATTTCTTACATTTCACAACTTGTAAACATTATATATTAATGGAAGTTAATAAGGTAATTAGACATAAAGATACAAGAGTTCAACGTGAAATGCTAACTTCCTGTTTATGTTTTGTACGTTTGTGACAATTTACAATAAAATGAATATGTATAAAGTTCTGTTATGAAAAAAGAATCGTTAAGGTACATGTTATGTTATTCTAATTCTCAATAGTTACTGTAAAGATCAACTAGTTGTGGTATCCAAAACACATATTATGGTTGTCTTTCAGATACAGAGAGTGAAGAAGAAGAAGAATTTGTTGATGAAGATGATGATGACTATGACTATGACAGTGAAGGGAACCCAACAAAGGCAGCTATACTAGCTAAGAAGAAACGGAAGATGGCAGAGGCTGCTAAAGGCGGTGCTTCTGGTTCAGATGAATCAAGGGATGGGACAAGTGAAGATGAAAAAGAATCTGAAGATGAAAAGGAATATGAAACTTCTGAGGTCAATTTTTCTAGATTTTGCAGACTCAAAATTCTTCTATCATTTATAAAATTTGGCTTTTAAAAATTCTAGTGTAATGAGTTGAAAATGAAATCGAAAACTGTAGACAAATTTGTTAATTGGGAATCTTTGATAAACTCCAGTTTTGCAAGACTTGTATATTTACTTTTGATTGCTTAATTTGAAACTCTGTCAAAGTTAGGAATAAAACCATTTTGTTTTTGCAAACTACTTTGTGTTTATTAATCATGAAATATACGTAAGTTTTGAAATAAATGGATTTCGGAAGTGCTTCCTGTGCTGATTTTAAGTACAAATAATTCATTTCAGGTTGAAACCGGACCAGATGAGGAATATGAATCGAGTGAAGGCGATGAAGATTTAGATGAGGATGAAAGATTGGCAAAGAAAGAAAAGAAATTAGCTGCTATTGCAGCTGCAAAAGAATTGAAAGATAAAAAACGAGAAGACAAAGCAAAAAGGAAAGCCGAAAAGGACAAGGAAAGAGAAATAAATAAAGCGAAAAAAGATGAAGAACTGACAAAGAAAAAAAGAGCTAAAGACGAAGAAAAAAGAAAACAAAAAGCAGAAAAAGATGAAAAAAATGAAACACAGAAAGCTGAAAAGGACAAGAAAAATGCTGAAAAGAAAAGGAAAAAAGAGATAAAAAGACTCAACAAACAAAGTAAAACTGATGGCAATGACGTGTCAGAAACAGAATCGGATTATGACACTGATGAGTTTTCGGAACCTGACGAATGTACAGAAAATGAAGACGAGGACAACAAGAAAAAGGGAACAGTTTCTAACGAGAAAAAGAAAAAAATTTCTAACAGTAAAATGCCAAATAAGAAAAGCCTTGCAGGCAAGGCCATTCTTTCTACTGTCAATGAAAAAAGTAAACAGACATTAAAAACAAATAATAATGACAGTAAAAGGATAAAATCTGAAAACAAGAAGAACAGCAAAATACAATCTAAAGAAAAATCTGATAATGTAAAAGACAATAAAGAACATAAAACAAATAAAAAAGAAATAAATACAGTAAAAGATAAACAGAAGAAAAAGGTTAGAAATCGATATAGTGATAGCGACGATTTTTCTGATGAAAGTGGAACAGACTACTACGAGGACTGGAATCCAGATGCAGAAGATAATCCTGATGCAAATGTAACACGCGTAAATGTTAAGGATATAAATAAAACACCAGATCAAATGGATAAAGACGGTAAAGACAAAAAATCAGTTAGAAAGAATAAAGAACCGAAGAAATCTGGAAACGAAACGACAAGTAAAAATTCCCAAAGTGCAAAACGAAAACAAAAAGGTGATGAAAGTGACACAAAAAATGCAAATAAAAAACAGAACAGAACGAAACAGCACGATGATAATGGCGGCAATAAGTCTAGTCAGAATTCTAAGAAAAAAAGTAAAAATTCCAGCAAAAATGAAAGTGAGGATAATGATAGTGATGATGAATATTATGATAGTGATGAATACGACAGTGATGAATATGATAGTGACGATTATGATAGTGACGATTATGATAGTGATGATAATGATAGTGACGATGATGATATTGAAGGTAGCAAAAGTCAAGCTAAAGACAAACGTATTAAGAAAGCAAATAATAAAGATAAAAAGCCAGGATTTTTTGGAAAGCTATTCGGAAATTTGAATATGTCTTCTGGGGGTAATCAAAATAAAAAAGTAAATAAATCTTCAGAAGGAAATAAAACAAATGGGTTGAATGATTGGGAAAGCGAGGAAGAATATGACGATAATGAGCCAAATTATCAAGGAACTAAAATGGGTCAAAGATCCGGATTAAATGGCAGTGGTTTCGGACGTTCTGGCTATCCAGGTCCTGCTAAAAATATTAATAATACCAGAAGTAGTATTTGGAAAGGTAATAATAATACCACGACTGATTTCGGTGACTGGGGGAGTGATGATGATAATGATGCTTTTGTGCAAAAAGATAGCAACAACGGATTCTCTCATTCGTATGCAAAAGGCTTTAATATGTATGATGACAACAAACAAGGTTTACATGATAAAATAAAGGGACAATACCCAGTGAATCAACATCATGGAAATGGGGCAGCTAACCATGGGCGGGAAGGAATTAATCAAAATCAATTTCTTTCTCCACATGGCGATCAATTTATGCCAGCTGACCATGCCTCAACAAATCTTAACAATTTTAGCGAGACACATGCCGACACTGATAATAAACAATACTCAATGTCTTCTGGAAGCCAATATCCAACCGCATATGGTGGAAACTATGCGTCAACCAGCATTCATCCTCATCCTGGTAGCAATGAACAAACGATGCAAAAGGCAAAACCTGACGAAAGAAGCAAATTCAATGCACTTTTTAATGTGAACGCAAGAAGAAAAAAGGCAACTAAAGCTAACCGTGCAACTCAAAATGCTGCACACAACTATGGCAATACACAAAGTGGCGGGATTTCATCTCAAAGTAAAAAATACGGTGACGGCGAAGATATATTTTCAACAAATAACACAACTGATAACCTTCATCAAGGTCGAAACAATTTTGATATACCAACATCAACTGGAGGGAATGGGTCTTCGAGCGGTTCAAATAACCCATCCAATAGAAATAAGTATTCGGAGGGAAACAAAATAATTTCTGATCAAATCGGGCTACATGGTGGGTCAGATATTGCAAAAAAGCAAAATGCAAAATTGACAGGGAATTCTTTTAGCCATAATCATCCAGATTCAAATAATTACACAAGAGACGGTTTAGGAGAAGAAACCAATTTGCATGATCATTATAACGGTAGGTTAGACGAAAATATAAATGGAAATTATTTAAGTAAGAATAGAAAACTTGGAGCACAAAACAAATCAGTAAATTTTAGTGTACCTGCAGAGGATTCGTATGACGCAAAAATAGGACAATATGGAAAGAATATCGCAAATGATAAGTCAAGGAATTTTAACACGACAAATGAAGATGGTAGTAAAAAACAAAGTGGTCAATTAGGTACAAATTTATCTGCCCCTTTCCAAAATAGTACACACGATGCAAATAATGTGATTAATAATGCTTTAAATCCAAATGAACGATTAGATACACACGCACAGGCATCAAACCAGCCCAATAGTTTCTCGAATCCTTTCAACACAGATAGAAATGGTACATTTGATGAAGAGGAAAGTCATTTGAACACCGGAATTAAATCAAAGAAACTTGTGAGTTTCAGAAGTAACGACTCTCACATTGTTGGAATGGGAAATAAAAAAGACAATTTTTCAGATTCAAATGGTTTACATAATCAACCAAATAACAATGGAGGAAGCAATCATGGTATAAATGGGATAACTGCCGAGTCAAACTACAATGGAGTTTCCTATCCAAGTAAGGCAGGATTACCCGCTGGACCATATAACAGTGGAGGAAACAGTCCAGGCAAGGATGGATTGTCAAATGGACCAAACTATCGTGGAGGGAACAATCAAGGAATTAATAGATTTCACAGTGGACGAAACAATAATAGAGGAAAAGGTCCAGACACGAATAAATTCCCCTCTGGGCCAAACAATAATGGAGATAATAATATTAGTATAAACGGATTGCAGGGCGGACGTACCTACAATGGCGGCAATAATCCAGGATCAAATGGGCTACACGCTGGACCAAACTCTAATGGAGGAAGTAATCAAGTCACAAATGGGTTACCTAATCGACCGAACTTCAATGGAGAAAACAATCGAATTTCGAATGGATTGCCCAATGAAGCACACTTTAATGGTGGTAATAACCCAAGTATGAATGGATTACCGGCTGGACCAAACTACAAAGGGAACAACAATCCGGGAAAAATGGGGCAATCTTCTGGAACAAACAACAATGGAAGCAACAGTCAAGGGACAAATGGTTTTCCAAACAGACAAAATCAAAATGGAGACAACAATCCAGGTAATGGATTTCCAAACGGACATAACCACAATGCTGGCAACAATCCAGGTAGGTTAGGACTACCAACTAGACCAAAAGATTTTGGAGCTAACAATCTAGATAGGAATGTATTACCTGCTGGGTCAAACCAAACTGGAGGCAGCAATGCAGGAAGGGTAGGATTACCAAATGGACCAAAACATTCTGAAGGTAACAATCCGGATACAAATGGATTACCAACTGGGTCAAACTTATTGAAATCAGACCCTATTTCGGGAGTAAATGCATCCACTGGATCTGAGGAAAACGATGACGTTTTTACATCAGATGCTGATATTGTCTTGCCAAATAATGGTACCAATAAACAAATCCGCTCTCCGGTAGGACGGTTTGTCAATAAACCAGCGTGGAATAATCCCAAACCAGACAATTCGAGCAGTGAAAAAAGGAAAGGTTCTAGAACACCTGTAAAGGAACTCATGAAAACCCCAAAGCGAATGACCCTTACAGATCCAGAGCCAGTATTTGAAACGGACAGGCTAGCAAAGAAATTTCCATTTTTGTCGACAGGTGATCCAGTAAATAACGCAGACACAAACGCTGTTAAACCTAACGAAAGCATGCGCAAAAATCAGAGCGATTCTAATCTTGAGAAGTTGTTTGGTAAGGGAAAACCGTTCGGTGGTTTGCCTAAGATTTCATCAGATCCCAACATTAAAGCTCAAGAGAACGGTGACAAAAATACTGAAGGTTTAAATGCTGATACACGTGATAAAATTTTCTATGGATTCGGGGTCGGTAAATGGCGCTTAGTAGCTGCTAAATGGCTCAATACATGGAAGATGAAGCGTAGACCTGTAAAAACAGCACAATCTTCATGGGACTAATGTGTAGGCCTGTGAAAACGGCGAATCTTTTTGGGACTGAGGAAACAGCACAATCTTCTTGGGACTCATTTTTCTTTCACTTTGATATCATTATAATAAATTTGCTAGTCTTATATCTTTTACGATACAATGCAATTGTTTATTTATATGTTAATTTTGTTTCAATAAAATAAGAATAAACTTTAATCACCTTTTTGAACCTAAAACTTACAAACACTGAACTCTATATCTCTATGTCCATGTATGCTAATTAAGTGACACGTATACAATAGGTGTGGGCCTAAGTAAAGGCTTACATAATTATTATATGGTTTCCGAATAAATTCCAAAACGATATAGACATATGATATAATTTTTTTTAAAAGAAATGGATGCTGAGAAATCTTCATTATAATCCAAAGATATCTTTGACAAGAATAGCTATCTCAAAGATATAAGACATTCAAAGTTATAACTTCGATCCCGTACAACTAACTATTCGTGCCGTGTTGCAGAATTAAAACAAAACAACAAATTGAAACTAGTTAAATATCATAGGAGACAAGAAAACAGCAGCATATGTACCTTTCCATTAAAAATAAAAAAGAATTAAAATAAATTAAAATTAATAGATTATAATAAATAATCTATGAAATAAATTATAACAATCGCGTAGTCTTTTTATATCATTAATTTTAGCTGCTTCAGTTTTTAGATAGTATTTGTAATTTTCGATTAATGTAGTAGATTGCCTACTAGCATGGCTGTAAAATCGGATCTGAGAACATGCTAATAGTAAATCAATTTTGATCACAAAAAAAACCTGAAACTATTAACAAGGACATTTCCAGATTCAGTGCAGTATAAATATGTTCTACAAAACAGCAGCAGGATCCGAGTTGAATATAGACATTTTGCATACCATTAACTCGGTTAAAAATTTTCTATATCAAATAATACCTCTTTTCGATGTGAATCTTATGAATTTCGACACTTCACAAAAGTTAAATCACAGTTTACCACCCACTTGACCACCTGGCTGGATTAAGCGAAAATCTCTTTGAATACTGATTATATGGATTACACGGTATCTACTTAAAGTATTAGAAAGAAATATAAGTACTATCACCGATTCTGAACCTTTATAGTACGTGTAATGAACTTAAAATATGTACTCTTGAAAATTAGTCCTGGCAAAGTATTTGATTTTTCGCTTAACTTTCCAAAATGTTGATAAATGTATGGTCTATGTTTTTCCTTTCCTCTCAACTGATGCATTTTATTCAGATATGATTATTTTGAACAAGACCACAGCTAAATCATAGAGCAAAGTATGTTTCAAAGATATACAGCAAATTTATTACTTGTAAATAGCACACACAGTGTCTTTAGGTAAAAAACGGTATAGTATACTTATAAGTAATAGAAGATTGAAATTATTTGATAAAAAAACTATGTTGTTAAATAATCAATTATTTCAGATATATTACTTAATTAAAATGTGCCTCAAAATGACATAAATAAAGTTAAGTTAAATACTCCAGTGTGTACATGTGATACATAGTATAATGTTTCAAAAGGCACATTGAAAAATATTAGGTTAGAAATAATTTCATAGAAAATTTGGATAAAGTGGCGCATAACTATATCAAATATGAGTTTATAAAATCAAACTTAACCTATGTTTTAATATAGCATATTGCCACACTGCAAGTACATATCAATGCAATCGTTGAAATCCTACGTAAATATATTGACAGAAAATGTTCATGTAAAGAAGCATATCTCTGTTAATAATAACAGTTGATTTAAATGAGTTGATTTAAATCGAACTTCACCCACGACTATAACGAAGGATCGACCGAAAAGCCATACCATATAGTACGTCCCAAATACACATACGAGCCGCGTCACGACAAAACCAACATAATGGGTTTGCGACCAGCTTGATCTAGACCAGCCTGCGCATCCGCGCAGCCTGATCAGGATCCATGCTGTTCGCTATCAGTTTCTCTACTCGTTATAGGGTTTGTAAGCGAACAACATGGATCCTGATCAGACTGCGCGGATGCGCAGGCTGGTCTGGATCCATGCTGGTCGCAAACGCATTACGTTGGCAACGCATTACGTTGGTTTTGTCGTGACGCGGCTCATATCTTGTGACTACAATGGTCAAACGGAATCTCATTATGTTATTTAGACAACAATTACATGTGTTTCATAATTGTATGACGAATTGAACAAGAACAAAATCAACAACAACTAACTGGTATGCAAGATGTAAATAAGATATCTCTTTATACAAATTGCTTTGACTTGTAATAAGAAAGCCGTCATTTGTTTTGTTTTGTTTTGTTTCTTCCTGTTTAATATCAATATGATTTGTACTAAATATACGTATATAAGAAGCAATTACTACAAAGAAGTGTAAAGTAATTACGAATTTCATTTGATATATGATCATTAGAAGATTACAATACATCATAATCAAACGATATAGAATCATCAAGTGAAACCAGATTTTGATCTACATTGTATATTTAAATCATAAAAGCTAATGCTTTTGAAGAAGTGTTAAGAGAATTATACTTACACAAAGGTGCGAAAGCGGACTAAGATTAACAATAATGATTCTGTTTTGATTTAAATTGCAGTTGATGTTGTATTAGACCTGGAAATAAATTTGAAAATGGTAAAAATTGTCGGTCACACGCACAGTATTTGTAAATAGGCAATTAAAAAATAAAGCGTACGTTTGTGAAGCGGGTGAAAAATGTTTCATTTGTGTGTCCTTGTCGGGGTAAACATACAAATCAACATGCATTAACAAGCCGCGCCACATTGCAAGTTTCGTTGCCAGGGTATGGGTTACTATGCTAAAGCACTTGTAGTATAAGAGCAAGTTCGGCAGATAAAGCTGGCATATTTTATATTGACAATACATTCAAATGATTCATACTTACGAATATATACATATATGACACGTATCCACTATGTTATTACAGTAAAAAACTAGAATATAAGAGCCGCGTCACGACAAAACCGCGCAGTCTGATCAGGGTCCATGCTGTTCGCTTACCAACCCTATTACAAGTAGTGAAACTGATAGCGAACAGCATAGATCCTGATCAGACTGCGCGCAGGCTGGTCTGGATCCATGCTGGTCGCAAACACACAATGTTGGTTTTGTCGTGTTGCGGCTCATATACTTTGTAATATTAAAACAATTGCTATGAGCGTAGACCAAGGCCAGACTTTGTGGACATGCAAGCCGGCCTGACTGTATTGTTTAGACATCGGCCTGATGATATCGACGCTAGCACTAAGGTTTAAAACATCGGGAAAAAAAGCAGTGAAACCAATGAATAAATCGCAAATACCAAAATACTGTCAATGAAAACTGTAGGAGTTAATGTAGGAGTTAATGTGAAAATGAAATGGCTACGCGATTGATATTATTTATTGTATCTATAGAAAGATAATTAGATATACTGAAAGAATCGTTTTGTTTCTTTTGTTCTTTCAAAATGATCATATTTAATATATTGCAAGTATAAGGACGCTATTTTAATTTGGTCACTTTACGGCGATATTTTCTTTACCTTTTAGCTTTAGTTTAAACATATTTTATTGTATGCACATGCATACATAAAACTTCACAATCATGCACATTTAAACAGAAATACATTAATGTAAATATACAAAAGGGTTGGGCCAAAAGTTATAACAGCATTGTCGAGGGCCCATCCCCTTTTCGATAAAAAAACAAGAACAAAAACAAAACAACAACTAAAAACAACAAACAAAAAATCATGGCAAAATCATGTGTTTTTTTTCCACACACCCTCAATTATTGTTCACTTCTTCAAGTATCATGGATACCGCGAGATTCCATTCACTAAGATTAAAACAGATATGATTCTACTTTGTGAGTAGGTGGTGTTAATCCTGTCAAATATATGATGTATTTTAATATATGAGCACCGGAAATTATACGACAAAGGGTACGAGTAAAAGTCTTGTTCTAAAGGTTTGGTGTTCCACATTGTTTTATTGAGTAATGATACTGGTATAAAATCTTTGGTTACCATACATAAGACAGTTAATCATAATCATATTTTCATATGCATGTTTACCTAACAAAATAAACGACGTTAACGATATTGTAATGTTAGAAACAAACAAAGATATTCAAGGTTTTGCTTTTGACGGATTTTGAGTATGTTTACACAGAAACACGTGTCAGTAACCGAGGAGCGTTGACAACATAGAAAGTAAATGACATAAGAAAGCATCAAATTAAAGGTGTGTGCCTCATTTCGGTTGTGACATTTTCTTTCGGCGTCGAAAACGTGTCATTAAGATTATTTTGTTTCATTTATATTTTATCAATTACTTATGTTTAATAAAATGTTTTTTTCTTTAACATAATGTTATTGTAAACAACGTTAAAATTCACTGGACGTATTTTACGTGTGTACCAAAGCAGCAAGCATATAGATATGCGTTAATATTTATGAAAACTTCAGCGTTGTCCTAGCGAGTAAAAATGGTGTTAAATGTACAAATTAAGTGATTTAACTTATCTTAAAGCGGAAATTTTTTTCTTACCCAACTAGTAACAGGGTAGAATTTTTAGGCGAAAAAAATAGTGAATCTGGTCATATTTTGCATATCACATTCAAAGTTTCACCTGAATAATTGCCAATATCTGTACACTTCTTTAACAATAAATGTTTTTTTTTCAAGGTATATTTTACACATCTAGAAGCGGCCGCTACATTAGTGAATCTCGAAATGCAATATAATTTTATGTAACACGTTTCTGTCATTTTTATTATCTAAATTCTTTAACAATAAATGTTTTTTCTCAAGGTATATTTTACACATCTAGAAGCGGCCGCTACATTAGTGAATCTCGAAATGCAATATATGTAATACGTTTCTGTCATTTCTCTTATCTAAATTGCAAATGATTTTATATTGTTTAGAGTAGACCATGCCCACTATAGTTGTTCATTAGAGAATCATAGTATATGTCGTAGTATATATATAGTTAGGTATATGTCATAAATAAAGACAACATTTGTGATTGCTTTAGCTTAAGGTCTTCAGCGTACCCGTTTATATATAAGACATGACGTGAATGCCGCATCTGATGAAAAACAAAAATGTTAAAAAAGCGGCTTATAAAGTTTTGGAAGCCAGAACTATGATTGCTTCTGCGCCGTCTGCATGTGTAACTAGCATAATGTTATATAGTTTTACAATTCGTTTACTTTCATTCCGGAGCGTCTTCGTGTTACATAAGAAAATTTTGAAGAACAAAAATGGCGCCAATTTTAAAATAGCATATATTAAAGTGAATTGGTCTGTAATGGAAGATCTGTTATACCAGAAATATGATATTATGTTTTTAGTACATGCATTTATTATCATACATGAAAACAAACCACGGAAGATTTTGACAGGAAATTTTGAATTTATTGGAAAATTGTAGTTAACCTGCAACAATTGGACAAGAACTCAAACCTTACTGTAGTATAATAAAAGGGTTGAGGACGTAATGGTAACACACGTTATTAAAAACTTGGCTTAATAATGACATTTTAGGTTACGTAATCGTCAACATTTACCAAAAATATCCACCAGTAAATGTTTTGTAAACGCTCCAAAACCATACTTATAAACACTTACATTTGGTTGAAAAACCCACACATTTGCTTATGCTTCAATAAGTTGGTAAAGAATAAACTAAACTCATTTATGATTACTAAATTGGTATCACTACTTATCAAATTACTATCTGTTAGCTCAAATAAGTCATCATCTCATGACAGTGCTTTCAATCACAACCAATTTTGAATTTCTGGGGTGTGCTTAACTTATTTCCAGGTAGATATCAACATTTTGTTTTCAAGAAACATTTAATGTTGATATTAAAATGATGTATTTCTCAATATTCGAACTACTCTTGGAAAATGTGCCCATTGTACTTCAAAGTGATATTTATGTAAAATTATAAATAATGCATGCACAATGTTTTCTCAGGCGTACCAAATTACGTTATGACATTTTATAAATATAACTTTTTTATTGTTGTTTTGCGAGGATATATTTAATATTAATTAAAGTGTTATACGTTATTGTAATGACGTCATATCTATTAGTGGAAATGGCTCAAGAAGTCTGCTTTATAAGTTGCGGTCCTGCTACATCGCACATTAAGGAAAATATTTAAAAAAGATCTTTGAAAAAAACTATAAAAAATAATTACAAAACAGAAATGAATGGCTAATGATAAAAGAACCTGTACAATTTAAAACGCTTTCATCAACGATTGTGACATTTATTCTTCTTTGATAGCATAAAATGTTAATTTCTGTAAAACATGGGCATACACCTTTAGCCTTGGGTTCTGCGGGTTCATACATCGCATTCGTAACATTTATTTCCATTGTCGGTTTTTTCTTCTGTTAACAAGGGCTGGATTAATTTAATCCAATGAAATTGTGTAACTGCGTCACAAGTTAAAGGTATGATTGCCTTAAATACCCTCAAAACTTCCGGTTATCTTAATAAAAAACGGAACTCTTGTCGGCAAACACTTTATCATAGAGAGAAAAATATACACGCTTTAAACGTAACTGAAGAATAAACAGTAGAAGGATTTTTACAAATAATTTATTTGCGTGGTAATTTTTATGAAAAATATTTGTGAAACAAGTGCTGGCGAAAGAATAATTTCACTCTTGCGCAAAACTAAGCAAATTAAATGGGAAATAATGTACCAATAATATTTATGAAAATATAGAATAACTTAATTAAAACTTAATATTACTTTAAAAAGATACAGTTTCAAGTCGAGAAGTCTTTTCTCTTAAATTAAAATGTGTACAAAAATTGTGTACAATAATTTAGCAATTGCATTTATTTTTTAAAAAGTTCAAAAAATCGAAATCTCATTAATTCGAAAATATAAATTATAAGCATTTGATTCATCGATTTTAGAATGGTGTTTATGGTTTTATTTCTACATGCAAAAATACTAAGAAAATGATGATTTGATTACCTTCAACGGTAATTATGCTTTGCATTTTCATCTTTCAAATGTCGTTGTGTGAGAAACGTCGAATAGAAAAAATAATATATTTTTTTAAAAATTAAGTGCATGCGCACTGATGACTTTAAGAAAAAGAAAGAGTTTATACAAGAATGTTATCATTACAATTTCAGTATAGAAGATGGAGTATATTTCGACATTTTGTATCATACTTTACGCCGTGGTTATACAAGTAAATGGCCACGGTCGTTTGATCAGCCCTCCCGGGCGCTCTACAATGTGGAGGTATGGGTTCCCTACTCCCCATAATGCCGACGATCATCAATTATCTTGTGGCGGATTTGGCGTGAGTATTTCACATATTTCTTTTTCAATTTTAAGCTAAACCTCTTTGCCTGGTTAATATGAAACCTACCTGTTGGCAACAAACGAAAGGGCAGCTAACAACTGTTCTGATGTATCATGTGTATGCATTTACTAATTTGTAAATATTTCGAATATGGTAAATTTTTTACAAGCAAATATCATTAAGCTAAGCAGCTAACAAGAGCTATGCGTGTTGTGCCTCTGCAAATAATTGTTTTTTCATCGAACTTAAACCTTTAAGATAATAAACTAAATAGTTTTGATAAATTCATCCTTAAATCTTGATAGTCAAAATACATTCTACGTGTATTTCTTTAATCGCAAGGTCAATGAAAAAAAACAAAAAAAAAAACACAACAAATTTCGATATGTAAATTACTGATATTGTTATTTATATAACTTATTGTTTACAATAAGTGTAAATGCTAAGCCATACTTTTATTATTTCCTTAATGACAGTTACTTTTTGTTTTACTTTGTTGCCTTTTTTCTTCTTGTGCAATAAGCTTTACTGAAAGGGTCACAGAAATATTGTAGAAATGTGATGTTGTTTTTGAAAATGTGTGTGTTTTTTTTTATAGATATATCAGTGAAAAGATCAAATAAACCTTTAAAGTTAAAATCGAACTCTGCGTTGAAAATTAACAATTAAATTAATGAATATTAATTATTATCAATGTCAATGTCTGATGATGAAAGATGTTTTGAATGTTTCAAACCGATTTAATGAATAAGTGCATAATATTTAGTGCATAAAATGTCAATTCTGGGAAACAGGGAAAATTATTAGATCTATAAAATCAATTAATGTGTACAATTTTATAGAATTGTAAACCATGATGCTTAACAAAATCTCGCATTTCTATATACAGGTTCAATTTTATAGAAACAATGGCAAATGCGGTATTTGCGGAGATCCTTACCATAGTGATCGCCCAAATGAGGCTGGCGGATTGTACGCAACAGGAACTATTGCGCGCGCATATAACCAAGGTGACGTCATCACGGTCCAAGTGGAAATCACCGTCAATCATGGCGGTTGGTTTGAATTTAAACTCTGTCCAAATAATGACGCGAAGAAACGAGCGACACAGGAATGTCTGGACAAATACTTGTTGCGACATTTAGATGGTTCAACGAGAACAATTGTACCGGAAGGGCTCGGTATCGTTTCGATAAAACTAAGATTGCCAAAGGACTTGACGTGTTCACAATGTGTTCTACAATGGAAATGGAACACAGGTAATAGTTGCTCGATTTATATACATTTATTATGAACAGCAATTATGATTAAATGTATATATTATAAGATTAAGAAATTAAGAATGATAAATAGTATATTAATTGACGTTTACTCGATTTCTAAATCATAGGCTATAATTTTCACTTAAGATATGTATGTAAATGTTCCTAATTTTACTATCTCATTACTGATTTCTGTTGTTTACTGTATATGAATATAATTCGTCTTTTTTGTTTTAACTTTTTTCTTTTTTTCCATAACAGTCCGCTTCTTTTCTTCTTGGTTTCATCACGGATTTATATAAATCCGTGGTTTCATTTAATAATTATTATGATAATAATATCATTGTATAATTACAGCGAGTAACGTACGTTGTAACGGGTCTAACTGTTGTCGGGGATGCGGGCCACAAGAGCAGTTCTATGGTTGTTCAGACATAACTATAAAAGGAAACAACTCACCATACAAACCTCCCGTGATTGTTCAACCTGTCCCAACACAGAAGCCACTCCCACCTAACTTTAATAATGGTGGAAGCGGCGGGGTACCAGGCTCGTTTCAACCTATTGTTCCCAGTTTTGGCGGCAATAATTTGCCGACTGGACATGTACCTATTCCTGATATTGTTAAAGACTGTAAAGCAACTGCATTATTTAGGTCAAATAACCCGATAGCAGACGACTGGTGTAGGAGGAACTGTATGAATGGATATTGTCCAAAGGATTACTGCGATGACACGTGTAGAGGAGGTGCGACACTTGTTCCAATAAACAACTCTATGAATAATGATTGTAAAGCAAAACAATTTTGGCGGGAAAAGAACCCAGTTCCTGAAGCAGCCGATAAATGGTGCTTAAACAGATGCAGAAACGGTCATTGTCCCTTGGACTACTGTGAAGATTCGTGTTGGGCACGATTATAATTTTTAAAAAATGCAATGAAAAAAGCAAGGAAAGCAATAAAAAACGAATATTCATCAAACTTTCGAAACTAAAAAATCCCATATCAGTTAAGTTTGCTGATCTGAAATTGCTTTTTATACTTTAACTATTATAAACAAACGCTGTGCTTTGTTTTTCAGTTAGTAATTGCTTTATGATTGACCTGTACAATTTCTTCCCAGTATTTACAATGATGTATACATATGTATACAAAAGTCCTTATCTGAACAGATGTGTACATACATGTAATCATTTACTTATACTTCTGCCTCATTTTTTATCAATGATTATAAAATTACAGGGGGGAAAGGGTTACATTGTATATCTTTTTCATGTATATATTTGTATATTTGTTCTGTTCTGATCTGAAATATAATTGTTTAATTATTAGTTCATTAGCCAAATAGGTCTGTATAAAATCTGCTTTTATATTACAATGTGTGTCTTTTTCAAATGTGTTTGATAATGATTTCTACGTTTTAACTTATTAAAGGTTTATTTAACATAATGATGAGTTGTTGTATTATATTAATAAAAAGAAGAATGAATGAATGAATGAATTGTAACAATAATAAAAGAAAGAAAGAAAGATACATACATAAAAAACTAAATCACTCACTCACACACTTAATTTATAAGCATATTTTCATTAACATGTAAATCCCACAACCTACGTACAGTAGCGTTTGCATCATCACCCAGCTACGAAAAACAAAAATATTCATCATTAATATTTGGACAGTTGTAAGTGCCAAGACATTGAGGCTAAGCCTTCAAACTAAATTTAACGTCTAAATTGCTTCATTGAAGGGCCCGCGATAATGTTGTTACAACTTTTGGCCAACCCTTTTGGACGTACATTATGTATGTAAAAATGTGAAATTGTTTCTTATGATACATTTATACAATGAAATATTATTAAACTCAAAACGCCTGTAAGTTTGGTAGAAAACGCTTCATTGTTACTGACAAAAACATTCATTAATTCAAGCTTGACAAAGATGCCAGACTTTCACTTACCCAGCCAGTCCACATCGCAGGCATATCAAAGGGTCCACTCTAACGATTCTACGATATTTTTTTCTGAAAGATCGGCGATTTACTGCCAAATGAATACCTAATTTGCTAACAGATGGATAACCTATTTGCTAACACCTGACCAGAAGAAGGAGCGAGTTAAATACTCTCGAAAATTGCTGAAAATGTTTCCTAAATATGACATTTGCCGATTTTCTAATATTGTGACTTGTGATGAAAAAGCTAGTTTCACTATTTTACGCCAGTTTGCAAGTGTAACAATATGGGCCACCAGAAAATGTTTGCATTGTCAAGCGATTGACAAGTGTTTTGAAAGTTACATGTAGTACGTTATTTTTTTAATACCCGTGGAACTGTTGTCCGAATTCCTGGTCATAAAGGACAGGCCATTTTGTTACATCTCAGTTCTATAAGGTTCGAGTTTCAATTGGTATAATGTATGAAAGGCCTGTATTTTCTGCATAGCAACGCTTCTGCACACAATGGAGCTACTGCAGTTAATAACAATTGCCTGTCCTTCAACATCACCATATTCTCCAGACTTGGCACCCTGTGACTTTTTCCTCTTTCTAGACTGAAAAAAAAAACAAAGAAAACAACAACATCTTGCAGGTCATCGCTACAAGAGTAGAAATGGGCTTGGCTTTGCTGTAATTTAAAGGTATACCTAAGGAGGACAATGTTGAAGCATTTAAAAATTGGATTAAACGACTCGCTCCGAAACTTTGTATACGAGTATCTGTAGATTATTTTGAAGGGAAGAAATAAGAAAGTAAAATATTTGCTCTTTTGTTAAATTTATTGACCATATTGCATTACATATTGACACACCTCGTATTACATTATAAAGATATATACGGAACGATAAGCTTGATATAGTCCTCCCATTGAAAGTACAAATGTACAAAAAATGTACACGTATGTTGTATATTGCAGTATTAAGTTTAATCATTGATTTTAATTGCGATGAAGCCCGGTATGTGCATTCATTAAGCAAACACTTGTATCGAACTGAACTTTGCAACAAAATACCACCCACGCACAAGCAAAGCATATCGAAACAATGAGGATCACGAGCAAGAGACATCCTCAAATAAGTGTGTTAAAATTTACTTCTCCTTTCCACTTTGTAATGTATCAATATAATCAGTAGATATACACATATCTGTATTACAAAGGGACCGCCTGTCTTTATTTGTTTAATGTAAAATGTAACGCTAACAAATCATTTTGACATATGATATAAGAACAATACAACAATCGTTTTTTTATATCTGTTATCTAACAATTAAACAATCTTATTTCAAGTTAAACCATATTTTATATTCCGAGTAATTGATTACAATTAAATGTAAAAAGGGTAGATTCATAGAATCTTATAGAAAGAATCGTGACAAAAACAAAAGAAATTTAACAGTGTTGCAAGAGTTCTCTCCCTTACAGCACTCTTGAATCCTTAACAAACAATTCAACAACATCATTAAAAAAAAAGGTTTTGTATTCTAAACAGTTACAGTTATCCGTTATTTAAAATATTAGCATACTTAAATGTTATCTAAGAAAGCGAAACATCTGTTGATATTTGAACTTGTGTTCGTTTTTAATCTATCTCTCCTATATACTGGTTAAAGGTGGTTCAATTCAGTTTTTAGGGCGACAAATTGTCGATCGCTTCCTCTTGCATTTGTCTAATAATTATAATATCAGAAAATGAATGCCATATACATGTCTCTCTAATAGCATTGTATATGTCTGAATATATTATTTAATTCTAGGCGGGACTTGCTTTGAAGATCGTTTCTCATCTATAATATTTTATTTTTGAAGAAAATTCAATGAAAGATACCGTGCAAGAAACTTAATTTAATTTTTCTTCCGACAAATTAGCACTGATTTTGCATTGAGTGCGTTAGATATGATATCCCTAGAGTCTTCTATCGGACTGAGAAAGCTATAATTCCTAGGTGAGCTCTGTAGACTACCAAACACTTTCCTGGCAAAGCAGATATTCAAAAATAGACTGTTTCACTACTTAAATTTTGATAAATATTTCTGACATTTATTGTATTCTTCGGATATACGATTTTGAGCATGTGTTATAGACGGTATTTTTCCACCAAAAACTTCATGGAAACGAATATTACATAATATGTGATCGAAACAAAGAAAAGAGACTTGGTTATTGCAATTACAGTGCAGTTTCTAGTGTTAATACCAATATTACCAATGGGGTATAATCCTTGCACGATATTGAGTATGAACACCCTCGATTACTCTCCCTTTGCAAAAAAAAACTCGCGCATGTGACATATGAAGACTTTGTGCAACATCAGGTATGCTTCTGTCCTAAGAATCTAGACACGCGTGAAAAAGTATGAGAAGGTGTTATTGAAAATCTCAGGTACAGCACATACATCTCATCTATACAGTTACAGATTTTTTTGCTTGGACAGCCAGTCAAACTTTTAAATATTCTAAACTCCTGAGATGTTTTTACTTTAATACAGAAATGTACATGAATAATGGAGCGTTAAATTAAGTAAATGTGTGTGTGTGTGTGTGTGTGTGTGCGTGCGTGCGTGCGTGCGTGCGTGTGCGTGCGTGCGTGCGTGCGTGCGTGTGCGTGCGTGCGTGTGTGCGTGCGTGTGTAACCACGGATTGTAATATAAATCCTTGGTGTAAAACTGTTAGAATTGAATTAAATTACTAACCTGTTGCAATGTTGAATTGTTGCACGTAATTATAACAATAGCCTCCTTAACTAACTAACTAACTAAACTAACTAACTAACTAACTAACTAACTAACTAACTAACTAACTAACTAACTAACTAACTAACTAACTAACTAACTAACTAACTAACTAACTAACTAATTTTAACTAACTAACTAATTAAGTAACTAACTAATTAAGTAACTAACCAACCAACGAAAGTTAATATGACAAAGTATATACATGTAATTGTAAATTTTTTATGTTTAGCAATCCAAATATTGAGGAAATAAAAGTATCAAGTATCATATATCTTATGTTCTTCTACAATATTATTTACAATGAATGTACAATGTCAGCTAAGGATTTCGATGTATATTTGAGCTCGGGCAAAAAAAAAACAACAGCCCTGAAAAAAATTAAAATATGCTTATACACATTGTATAAGCTGATACTAACAAACCAACATTAGTTGTTATTACATGTGATATACAGTATCTGCGACAAAAATATACATTTTGTCCCAGACAGTATGCGAAGTATACTGTACGTGTACCACGTCCTTAAATAATATAAAGAATACAATTAAATAAAAAAACTAGGATCTATATATATAGCGTTTTATAACGCATCAACACATAACTACGGTTGCATAGAGGTGACATGAGTATCTCCTGCCCACGAGTTAATTATCTCGTGCGCACGACTTAGTGACTCGTGGTCATGACATGGTATCTCGTGCGCACGAGAAAAATAAAAACACACACATATGTCACCTCTGTGCCACCGTATAACTGATATCGCTTCATATCTTTTCAAACAAATAGAAACTTTAATAATTTAATTATGTGTATTTTTCAATGTTGATTAAATCATACACGCAGGTCTAACTGCGTTGCGTCACGCTTTTAATTACAGCCCTGATTGCGTCAAACTATTCATTTCTATACGTATTTCAATTAATCTGGGAATTAATCAAATAACATCAGTCCAGCTCGGTCATTTAGACATAATTATGCAAAATTAATCTTCAAAAGTCTCTCAGTTTAAGGATTAAAATGAATCATGTTCCGTCTTGTCGCTTAATCCTTAACAAGTC